TATAAGTATATCAGTGTTTCAACCATGGTATAAAGTAAATGTGTTCATCCTCATTTTGTGTAGTAAGGTAATGAAACTCTCCAAAAACCGTGTCTGAAGGATAAAAGAGGTTTCTTTTGCAAGGGTATATATATATAACAGAGTGTTCATTTTTTCTTATTTATACCTTTTATATGACTGATTTTAGACGTAAGCCATAATCTAACACAAGTTAAAATTCGTAGGGTTCTCAGTAAAGATCGAACTTAACTATTTTAATCTACCTTTATTATAGCATGTTTCTTGGTTTTATGCCTGTATATTTGTTTCAAAGGGAAGAAACCAGTGCGAAACAGGTTCGGTAAACAGAATTCTATAATTGAATTGCAAAACATCATTCATTTTATGCGTATATAGACTGGAGATAAATTATACTTACCCTTTATTACTTATTCTTTCAATAAAAATATATTTATTTCCGCCAGCTATAAGGGGCTTTGATACCTACCTGGCGTCTTTAGTCTCTATACTTCGATTTGATTGCGTGCCGCTTGATGTATTCACCTGCATCTGTTGTAATCAGTGTTACCTTTGTTAACTTACATAGCCTGCACCTGTTTTCTTTTACGTTCTTATGATTTTTTTTTTTGTTTTTTTTGTTTTTTTTTGTAATAATATCTCTAACATTCTAACCAGTCTTCCTCAGTCGCCTCATCAATTCTCTCATCTTTTCTGCCGGAGTAATTGCCACGACGTTGATGTCCAAAAACCTTCAGGAGATCGTCAGGGGAAATAAGGTTGTTCTTGGGAGCATGACAATTATTGTTGCAATGAAACCCGAAAGAAATAGAGAAAAAAAAATGAAGGAAAAGGTATAAAGAAAAAAAAAGAGAGATTATAATCATAACTAAGAATAAAGAATAAGAAAAAGGTACTAGTAAGTTAACATATATATGTATACATATTTATACATACGAATAAACGTATGAATATGTACATATTTATATATCTATATATAGATATATACATATACATAAATACATATATATATATATATATATATATATATATATAATGCATGCATATTTGTATATCTGTATATATACATACATACATATATATATATATATATATATATATATATATATATATATATATATATATATATATATATATATATAATTTATGCATATTTTCATATAAGGTCCCTTAGCCGTAGGGCGAGATGAAATTCTTTCTTTTGTGTATATATGTGTATGGGGATACCCTGAAACATGAGTATATTTATATTCATTTCTATCTCTCGATAAGTATTAAGTATTTCTGTCGTATATATATATATATATATATATATATATATATATGTATGTGTGTGTGTGTGTGTGTGTATGTGTGTATGCGTGCGTGCGTTCTTGCGCAACTAATCTATATGCGTGCATGTGTCGCTTATTTATGAGTATGCGGCTGAGCATATATATATATAGCCAGTTTTATACATGTATGTATGCATGATTATGTGCACAATGGAAACTGTACATATATATATATATATATATATATATATATATATATATTCATTTTAATTATCTAAAATTATTTTAGTTAATAGCTTCGCAAATCGTTCCAGTTCACTTGTATTATCAATAATACTACTACTAATAATAATAATGATAATAGAAAAACGTTACAGTTCTCTTGTATTATCAATAATAATAATAATAATAATAATAATAATAATAATAATAATAATAATATCCCTGTCACTCTTATATTGTCAGTATGTTTTTTAAAATTTTCTTGTCAAGCTTTAGCCGTCCATATTTTCCTTACGCAAAACATTTTCTCCTGCCAGGAAAATCTAACATATCTACAAGTATTTATTGTATTTTGTTTATGTTCATTTCACTTCGTTTAAGCTGTTCATCACGCGGATTACAAAAGGAAAAAATATGGAAAAGAAAAAAAATGATTAAAATATGAAAAGAATTATTTGTAAAATATTATTCAGCTGTATGATTCAAGAGTGTGGATCGAACCTGTGTATGCAGCCGTTCCTATCAAGTAAGGCATACTAAATGTTATAAGCAGCAATATGCCAGTCCCATCTTTCATTTTAATATCTTGTCAGATCAAACGTCCTTATGTTGGACCCAGGTCAACCCGGGTAATCAATCCTAGCTTTTTGCAGCGGAGAAAAAATGTCGGTGGAGAACATTTATTGAAATTTTGGTGATCACTTTAGAGCAATATGGTGCAGATGAAAGACGAAGAAATGATTGGCGAATTTCCGCGAAGCTTTCGCTATGATAATCGGATAATTATTTGTGAATGACGACGAGGGGTGATGAGGAATGTTTCTTCGTAATGCCCCGAGCCTGGGCGCTTTTCTCTCCGTTTCAACTAATTACAATATGGCTGCCATGACGATGTCTTATTTTGCGGTCTTTTGTCGCTATTAAAATCTAAATATCCTCAAAGCACCACTGCAACCGTCTACTTATTTTTTCTTTTTTCTTTTTAGCATTCTTCATATTTTCCGTGTTCTTTCTTTCGTTTCCTCTTTTTATCTTGTACTTATTTTTTTTTCATTCATTCATTCGATGTTTTTCACTATTTTCTTTACACATAGTTCTCTTATTTTTTTGTTTAGTTTATTGTTCTTTATCATTTATTTATTTATTCTTTATTATTTCATTTTTCAATTCAATTCTTTCTTTTGCTTTCCTTTTCGCTATATTCTTTTATTTTTTGTTCCTTCCTTCGCACAATTTCAAGTCACATTTCGATTTATATTTTTTCGTATAAATTCCTTGTATAATTTTCTCATCTTTTTATACTTTTTTATCATTATATCTATATTCTATTTTACCTTTTTCAAGTGTTTGCTTCTTCTTAATAACTCGATTTTTTTAAAATTTTTTTATCTTTTAATTTCCCTTTTAATTTAATCAGTTGTTTCTTTCTTTTTATATCATTATCAACACCTACCATTTCCTTTTCATTCTTTTTCATTTCGTCTTATTCATAATTTCCTTTATTGTCTTCTTCATCTTTTTTCTGTTCGTCTTTTTTATCTAATTCATTTTCTTCTTTATATTTTTCACCATGTACGTCATCATCTTTTTCTTCAATTTCAGTATTTTTTACCTTCATCTATATTTCTTTATTTTCTCTATTTTCCACTCCTTCAACATTTTTATCTTCTTCATCCTCTTCGTTATCACCATCATTTGCTTTCTCTTTTTCTTCATAATCATCTTCTTTTTCATCTTTGTCATTATTATCAGTATAACTCCTTCTAACCTTCTTGTCCATGTTCTTCATCTTCTCCTCCTCCTAGACATTTTCTTCTTCTATTTGTTTTGCCTTTCTTCTTCTTCTTCTTCTTCTTCTTCTTCTTCTTCTTCTTCTTCTTCTTCTTCTTCTTCTTTATCACCATCGTTTGCTTCTTTTTCTTCTTCTTCTTTATCACCATCGTTTGCTTCGTCTTTTTCTTCATAATCATCTTTATCGTCATCATTATCACTATATTTGTTTTTTTTCTTCTTCATTTGATAATTATTTAAGGCAGCATCTTTTGTCGAAATGTTTCCCCGCCCAGTCAAAGGCAATTTCAGTTTCTCATAACTCCAACCCTCAACCTTTGTAAAAAGGCTTTCTCCACAGTGCGATCTTTCCCTCCCACCCATAATATTCTCTCATCCAGCCCCAAACACAACACAGGCTTCCCTTTCTCCAACACAGACCCGTGTTTCTTTCCCTGATTACCATTCTTCACTCTCCCCTTTTCCCTATCTACATCATACTCTCCTTTCCCTAAGCATGACAAGACAACCTAACATTTTTTTCTGTCTTTCAATCTCATCTCACTCGCACTTGCTTCATATCCACTTCAGTATTAATAGAAATCCTGGGTAGTAACCCAACGGAAAATATTTCTTAAGAGAATCTGAAATGTTTGGTTCAATTCCGGATGATATTTTAAACATTTGTGTATTATTGATTTTACTAGTTCTTGACTGATCAACAAGGAGAAGTAAAAAAAAAAAAAAAAAAAAAAAAACATTAACCAGAGGATATTTTGGATTCTAAAAGATACTACCATACAACGAATACTATCCACTTATGCGATTTTGATAACAGATACTGATTTAAATATTTTTTAAAAAAGTGGTGAGGAGGATGAGGAATACTAAAATTTATTAGATAACATAAAAAGAAGAATCTGCTATTTTATACCCGACTTCGGTCACTTTCCCATCAACGTAACGTAGCTTCTCTGTGCTTTTTCTATGAATACTTTCATGGTAATTGTTCTAATGAGCTTTCCTCTTTGCTACAGTCTTGACCTGGCATCTCGGCTTCACTCACTTTCCCATCACCGAAATGTAGCTTCCCTGTGCCTTTTCTATAAATATTTTATGGTAATTGTTCTAATGAGCTTTCCTCTTTCGTACAGTCTTGACCTGGCATCTCGGCTTCACTCACTTTCCCATCACCGTAATGTAGCTTCTCTCTGCCTTTTCTATAAATACTTTCATGGTAATTGTTCTGATGATCTTTCCTCTTTGGTACAGTCTTCACCTGGCATCTCGGCTTCAGTCACTTTGCCATCACCGTATTGTAGCTTCTTTGCCTTTTCTATAAATACTTTCATGGTAATTGTTCTGATGAGCTTTCCTCTTTGGTACAGTCTTCACCTGGCATCTCGGCTTCACTCACTTTGCCATCACCTTAATATAGTTTCTCTGTGCCTTTTCTATAAATACTTACATGGTAATGATAGGCTTTCCTCTTTGCTACAGTCTTGACCTGGCATCTCTACACTCACTTTGTCATCACCGTAATGTAGCTTCTCTGTTCCTTTTCTATAAATACTTATATGGTAATTGTTTCTGATGGGCATTCCTCTTTCATGAGTCTTGACCTGGCATCTCGGCTTCCTCACTTTGCCATCACCGTAATGTTTGACTTTTCTATAAATATTTCTGTTCCTTTCCTATAAATACCTTGCATCTCTGCTTTCAATTTCATCATGGTAATTGTTCTGTTCTGATCATTCCTCTTTGGTACAGTCTTGACCTGGCATCTCGGCTTCACTCACTTTGCCATCACCTTAATATAGTTTCTCGCCTTTTCTATAAATACTTACATGGTAATTATTCACTCTTTGTACATGTCCGGCATCATTTCTTTGTCATCACCATGTTTCTTCTGTGCCTTTTCTATTGGTAATTGTTCTGATGGGCATTCCTCTTTCGTACAGTCTTTGCATCTCAGCTTCACTCACTTTTCTGAAATGTAGCTTCCTGTGACTTTCTATAAATATTTTGGTAATTGTTCTAATGACCTTTCCTCTTTCGTACAGTCTTGACCTGGCATCTCTGCTTTCACTTTCCCTCACTTTGACATCACCGTAATGATGAGCATTCCTCTTTCGCTTCATCTGTGCCTTTCCCTATAAATGTCTTTCTATAAATACTTTCATGGTAATTGTTCTGATACAGTCTTGACCTGGCATTCTTCTTTGCCATCACCGTAATGTAGCTTCTTTATGACCTGGTAGCTGTTCTAATCTCAGCTACAGTCTTCACCCGGCATCTCGGCTTCCTCCTTTGCCATCAAGCTTCTCTGTGCCTTTTCAATAAATACTTACATGGTAATTGTTCTGATGAGCATTCCTCTTTCGTACAGTCATGACCTGGCATCTCAGCTTCCTCTTTTGCCATCACCGTAATGTTTCTTCTCTGTTCCTTTCCTATAAATAATTACATGGTAATTGTTCTGATGATCATACAGTCATGACCTGGCATCTCGGCTTCACTCACTTTGCCATCACCGTAATGTTTCTTCTCTGTTCCTTTCCTATAAATACTTACATGGTAATTGTTCTGATGATCATTCCTCTTTCGTACAGTCATGACCTGGTATCTCGGCTTCACTCACTTTGTCATCACCGTAATGTAGCTTCTCTGTGCCTTTTCTATTAATACTTTCATGGTAATTGTTCTGATGAGCTTTCCTCTTTGGTACAGTCTTGACCTGCATCTCTTCACTCACTTTGACATTACCGTAATTCCTTCCCTGTGCCTTTTTCTATAAATACTTTCATGGTAATTGTTCTGATGAGCTTTCCTCTTGGATCTTGACCTGGCATCTCAGCTACCTCACTTTGCCATCACCGAAATGTAGCTTCTCTGTGCCTTTTCAATAAATACTTACATGGTAATTGTTCTGATGAGCATTCCTCTTTCATGCAGTCATGACCTGGCATCTTGCCATCACCGTAATGTTTCTTCTCTGTTTCCTTTCTATAAATAATTACATGGTAATTGTTCTGATGATCATTCCTCTTTCGTATAGTCATGACCTGGCATCTCGGCTTCACTCACTTTGCCATCACCGTAATGTTTCTTCTCTGTTCCTTTCCTATAAATACTTACATGGTAATTGTTCTGATGATCATTCCTCTTTCGTACAGTCATGACCTGGCATCTCGGCTTCACTCACTTTGTCATCACCGTAATGTAGCTTCTCTGTGCCTTTTCTATAAATACTTTCATGGTAATTGTTCTGATGAGCTTTCCTCTTTGGTACAGTCTTGACCTGGCATCTCGGCTTCACTCACTTTGCCATCACCGTAATGTAGCTTCCCTGTGCCTTTTCTATAAATACTTTCATGGTAATTGTTCTGATGAGCTTTCCTCTTTGGCACAGTCTTGACCTGGCATCTCAGCTACACTCACTTTGCCATCACCGAAATGTAGCTTCTCTGTGCCTTTTCTATAAATACTTACATGGTAATTGTTCTGATGAGCATTCCTCTTTCGTACAGTCATGACCTGGCATCTCGGCTTCACTCACGTTGCCATCACCGTAAAGTTTCTTCTCTGTTCCTTTCCTATAAATACTTACATGGTAATTGTTCTGATGATCATTCCTCTTTCGTACAGTCTCTACCTGGCATCTCGGCTTCACTCACTTTGCCATCACCGTAATGTTTCTTCTCTGTGCCTTTTCTATAAATACTTACATGGTAATTGTTCTGATGAGCATTCCTCTTTGGTACAGTCATGACCTGGCATCTCGGCTTCACTCACTTTGCCATCACCGTAATGTTTCTTCTCTGTTCCTTTCCTATAAATACTTACATGGTAATTGTTCTGATGATCATTCCTCTTTCGTACAGTCATGACCTGGCATCTCGGCTTCACTCACTTTGCCATCACCGTAATGTTTCTTCTCTGTTCCTTTCCTATAAATAATTACATGGTAATTGTTCTGATGATCATTCCTCTTTCGTACAGTCATGACCTGGCATCTCGGCTTCACTCACATTGTCATCACAGTAATGTAGCTTCTCTGTGCCTTTTCTATAAATACTTTCATGGTAATTGTTCTGATGAGCTTTCCTCTTTGGTACAGTCTTGACCTGGCATCTCGGCTTCACTCACTTTGCCATCACCGTAATGTAGCTTCCCTGTGCCTTTTGTATAAATACTTTCATGGTAATTGTTCTGATGAGCTTTCCTCTTTGGCACAGTCTTGACCTGGCATCTCGGCTTCACTCACTTTGACATCACCGTATTGTAGCTTCTCTGTGCCTTTTCTATAAATACTTACATGGTAATTGTTCTGATGAGCATTCCTCTTTCGTACAGTCATGACCTGGCATCAGCTTCACCACGTTGCCATCACCGTAATGTTTCTTCTCTGTTCCTTTCCTATAAACTTTTACATGGTAATTGTTCCGATGAGCATTCCCTTTTCGTACAGTCATGACCTGGCATCTCGGCTTCACTCACTTTGCCATCACCGTAATGTTTCTTCTCTGTTCCTTTCCTATAAATACTTACATGGTAATTGTTCTGATGATCATTCCTCTTTGGTACAGTCTTGACCTGGCATCTCGGCTTCACTCACTTTGCCATCACCGTAATGTAGCTTCCCTGTGCCTTTTCTATAAATACTTTCATGGTAATTGTTCTGATGAGCTTTCCTCTTTGGCACAGTCTTGACCTGGCATCTCGGCTTCACTCACTTTGACATCACCGTATTGTAGCTTCTCTGTGCCTTTTCTATAAATACTTACATGGTAATTGTTCTGATGAGCATTCCTCTTTCGTACAGTCATGACCTGGCATCTCGGCTTCACTCACGTTGCCATCACCGTAATGTTTCTTCTCTGTTCCTTTCCTATAAATACTTACATGGTAATTGTTCGATGAGCATTCCCTTTTCATTACAGTCATGACCTGGCATCTCGGCTTCACTCACTTTGCCATCACCGTAATGTTTCTTCTCTGTTCCTTTCCTATAAATACTTACATGGTAATTGTTCTGATGATCATTCCTCTTTCGTACAGTCTTGACCTGGCATCTCGGCTTCACTCACTTTGCCATCACCGTAATGTAGCTTCCCTGTGCCTTTTGTATAAATACTTTCATGGTAATTGTTCTGATGAGCTTTCCTCTTTGGCACAGTCTTGACCTGGCATCTCGGCTTCACTCACTTTGACATCACCGTATTGTAGCTTCTCTGTGCCTTTTCTATAAATACTTACATGGTAATTGTTCTGATGAGCATTCCTCTTTCGTACAGTCATGACCTGGCATCTCGGCTTCACTCACGTTGCCATCACCGTAATGTTTCTTCTCTGTTCCTTTCCTATAAATACTTACATGGTAATTGTTCCGATGAGCATTCCCTTTTCGTACAGTCATGACCTGGCATCTCGGCTTCACTCACTTTGCCATCACCGTAATGTTTCTTCTCTGTTCCTTTCCTATAAATACTTACATGGTAATTGTTCTGATGATCATTCCTCTTTCGTACAGTCATGACCTGGCATCTCGGCTTCACTCACTTTGCCATCACCGTAATGTAGCTTCCCT